ACGGTGCAGTGCGGCGCTGTGCGGTGCAGAGCGGTGCAGTGCGGTACCGGGCGGTGCAGTGCGGTACCGGGCGGTGCAGTGCGGTACCGGGCAGTGCAGTGCAGTGCAGGGGGCCTATGGCGGCGGCGAGGCGTCTAGGAGACGGGGCGGCGGGCGGCGAGGCGACGGGGCCGGCTAGGCAGGGAGGTGACGGTGCCGGCTAGGCTACGGGGCCGGCTGTGCACCGGGGCCGGCTAGGCGACGGGGCCGGTGAGACGACGGGGCCAGCTAGGGGACGGGGCCGGTTGGGCGACGAGGCGACGGGGTCGGCTAGGAGGCGGGGCCGGCTAGGAGGCAGGGCCGGCTGGGCTACGCGGCCGGCGAGGCGACGGGGCCGGCTGGCGACGGAGCCGGTCAGGCGACGGGGCCGGCTAGGCAGCGGGGCCGGCTAGGAGGCGGGGTCGGCTAGGAGGCGGGGCCGGCTGGGCTACGGGGCCGGCTAGGCGACAGGACCAGCTAGGCGACGGGGCCCGTTAGGTGACGAGGTCGGCTTGGAGGCAGGGCCGGCTGGGAGGCGGGGCCGGCTAGGAGGCGGGGCCGGCAAGGGGACGAGACCGGCTAGGAGGCGGGGCCGGTTAGGAGGCGGGGCCGACGGGGCGACGGGGCCGGCTGGGCGGCGGGGCCGACGAGGCGATGGGCCCGGCTAGGAGGCGGGGCGGGCTAGGAGACGGGGCCGGCTAGGAGGCGGGGCCGGCTGGGCTACGGGGCCAGCTAGGCGACAGGGCCGGCTAGGCGACGGGGCTGGCTAGGAGACGGGTCTGCACGTGCGGGAGGGGACCGGGGCGGCTAGGACCTAGGGTGGAAGCGCTGGTGGGCGGGGGGGGCCTAACCTACTCATAATACCATGACAAAGTTAACGAGTGACTAGAACAATGATATACAAGGGAATATAACCTAATGGGTTGTACTCACTAAGGCACAATCCTGTATAGTCTATAACAACATACAAAGGTATGTTTGAAAAGTCAAGGAAGGTCATTAGTGTCAACTTATACATATTATCTATGTAGAAGTTATAGGCTAGACTGAGGTATGCTTCTAGTGAGTACAACCAACTAGTATTTGTTCTAGGTTTCCACCTCTAGTAATCATTCGTTTCTACGTTAACATGGTATCACGCTTAGGTTAGGATCCCCCCGCCTACCGCTTCCGCCCGTCGCGCCTCCTAGGCCCCGTCGCGCCCCCTAGGCCCCGTCGCGCCCCCCCTGGGCCCCGTCGCGCTCGTTAGGCCCCGTCGCGCCCCCCCTGGGCCCCGTCGTGCCCGCTGGGCCCCGTCGCGCCTCCTAGGCCCCGTCGCGCTCCCCCTGGGCCCCGTCGCGCCCACTGGGTCCCGTCGCGACCCCTAGGCCCTAACGCGCCCCCGCTGGGCCCCGTTACGCCTCGTCCTGCCCCGTCTGGTGTCTCCCACGTCACTCCCCTCCCGTCGGTTGTCCCCGTTGAGGAGTCTGCTGACTCTGGTGGTACCCCCGGTCCGTCCTTGCCGCGTCCCCCTTCCCCAGTGCCTCCGCCCCCACTGTCGCAGTCGCCGACCCCGCTGCCGCCGCCGTCGCCGTCGCCGCCGCAGCCGTCGCCGCTGTCGCCGCCACTGCCGCCGCTGCTCTCGGCCCCTGGGGGTGCTGGTGTGGAGGAGGGTGTTCGTCCTGCGGCTTCTGGGGGTGCCGCTGGTGTTGGAGGGGGTTCTCGCTCTTGGGGTGTTGGTTCTGGGGGTGCTGCTGTTGAGTGTTCTGCCGACGGTCGTTCTGCCTCTGCTGGTCCGAGAGTTCCGGCCCAGCCGTCGTCGCCGCCACAGCAGCCGTCGCCGCCGGTTTCCGCTCTCCGCCTGCTCGGCCTTCCCTCCCCGGACCGCGCGCCGGTGTCTCCCCCACCGCCTCCTGACCTCCCTGTCTACGGTCCTGTGTTCCCGCCGCCAGACTCGTCTCTGGCCCGTCTTCCTCCTCGTTCCCCTCCTGTGTCTCCTCCGCTGTCCCCTGACCCTACCCCTCCGTCTCACGTTTGGGCTCGCCGTCCCTCCCGTGCCCGTCCCGTCTCTCCTGTCCTGCCCACCCACCCTATGTTGCTCCGTTCCCACTCGTCTCGTCCTCCCCTCCTCCCGTCCCCTCCTCCCTCGTCCCTTGCTGTTGCACCTCCTCCGTTCTCTGACTACCTCCGTGCTGCTCGTCCCCTTGTCCCTCGGGTCCTTGCCTCTCTTGTTACCGACCCTGCTGTTCCTGTCTCGCGCCTTGACGCGCTTGTCGCTGCTGTCGCTGACTTCGCTTCTACCCGCCGCCTTGACTACGCTACCGCTCTGGTCTCTGACCCTGCCCGTCCTCTGTCCGTCGGGGGTGCTCCTGCCCTTGGCAGTGACGTCCTAGAGGACAGGCAGTACGAGCTGGCTTTCCTTTCCGAGGCTGCTCCCCATCTCTGCTCCATGCTGTTAGTCCCTGAGGGTGACCCAGACGCCTTCGACATCCCGACCCCTCGCACCTACGCTGAGGCCACCTCGGGACCTTGGGCCTCTCAGTGGATAGCTGCCATGGAGCAGGAGATGGCATCTTGGAGATCCACCGGCACTTACGTCGACGCAGTTCCCCCGCCTGGGGTGAACGTAGTCGATGGTCGGTGGCTCTTCAAGGTGAAGCGCCCCCCTGGAGAGCCGCCTGTCTTCAAGGCGCGCTACGTGGCCAGAGGTTTCAGTCAGCGCGAGGGGGTTGACTTCTTCCAGACCTTCGCCCCGACCCCGAAGATGACCACTCTTCGGGCGCTGCTACACGTAGCAGCACAGCGTGACTACGAGCTTCACTCTCTCGACTTCTCTACTGCCTTTCTTCAGGGCAGCCTACACGAGCAGGTCTACCTGCGCCGACCACAGGGCTTCACTGGTACCTTCCCTCCTGGGACCCAGTGGCTTCTCAGGCGCCCGGTCTACGGCCTGCGTCAGGCTCCCCGCGAGTGGCACGACACGCTACGTGCCACGTTAGCAGACCTGCAGTTCTTTCCGTTCTCTGCTGACCCTTCACTGTTTGTGCGTTCCGGCCAGACTCCGTTCTACATCCTTGTCTACGTAGACGACCTGGTCTTCGCTACTCCTGACAGGGACGCACTGGCCTCTGTGAAGGCTGAGCTGCTGAAGAGACACACCTGCACTGACCTTGGAGAGCTGCGTCGCTATCTTGGCCTGCAGATCTCTAGGGACAGAGCAGCACGCACCATCACTCTGACTCAGTCACACTTGGTGCGTCAGGTCCTTCAGAGGTTCGGTCTTCAGTTCTCCTCCGCACAGCCCACACCTCTACCCGTAGACCATGGGCTCTCTGCTCCCGTTCCTGAGGAGCCAGTAGAGCCCAGTGGCCCCTACGCAGAGCTGGTGGGTTGCCTCATGTACCTGATGACTTGCACTCGCCCAGATCTCGCATACCCTCTCAGCATCCTGGCTCGCTTTGTGGCTACAGGCAGACACCGACCTCAGCACTGGTCTGCCGCTAAGAGGGTTTTGCGTTATCTTGCTAGTACATCAGGCATGGGGTTAGTGCTAGGAGGACGCAGGCCAGTGGTCCTTACTGGGCACACAGACGCTTCTTGGGCAGACGACGGTGAGACGCTCAGGTCGTCGCAGGGCTACTGTTTCAGCCTTGGTTCGGGTGCTATCTCTTGGAGATCCACTCGCTCGTCGTCTGTGGCTCAGTCTAGCTGTGAGGCTGAGATCTACGCTGGTGCCATGGCGGCACAGGAGCTCCGCTGGCTGACCTTCTTGCTCACAGACTTAGGTGAGCGGCCTAGCTCTGCCCCGGTCCTGTACGCTGACAACAGGGCCATGATACTCCTGTGTCAGGAGCCTCGGCTTGAGGGCAGAGCGAAGCATATCCAGCTGCGGTACTTCCTCCTGCGCGAGCTACAGCAGCGCCGCCAGGCCCGCGTAGTTCACTTGGCCTCAGGTGCCAACACAGCTGATATCTTTACTAAGGCGCTTGCGCCTAAAGATCATCAGCGGCACTGTGTACAGCTTGGTCTTGTTCCTATAGCTGCTCCCCTGTTAGGATCCTGATTGTGTACTCTCTATTATATATGCTTGTCAGACTGGCCTTGTGGCCTTACCTCCAGTGGCTGGACTAGTAGTGCCACCCTGGCTTGCGTCAGTTTTGGTTGTATTCTTGCTGACTGGTCTCCAGACCCCTGCCTCAGTGGTTGGACTAGTAGTGCCGCCCTGAGCTGTTTGCTTCTTGTTTAGTTTCACCCCTTGTCTAGCCTAGGGGGTGTGTCAACTTATACATATTATCTATGTAGAAGTTATAGGCTAGACTGAGGTATGCTTCTAGTGAGTACAACCAACTAGTATTTGTTCTAGGTTTCCACCTCTAGTAATCATTCGTTTCTACGTTAACAATTAGCGTGGGGGGCAAAACCTCCCCCATGATTCGAACAGTTTAAACCTATTTTGCACGCTTTAAAAAGGGGATAATAAGCACTCTCATGTGATTGATAAATGCTCACGTTTAGGCAGATAAAATGCTAAACGCTTATTTTTTGAACAAGGAACTGAATGGAGGCATAGGAAGGAGAAGTGAAAGTAAACCTAAGGAAGTTGTAAATCTTATTTTGTGTACTTCGACTACCTAAGTGAGCATACGTGGAGATGAAATTGCAGGTTTTTGCACCACCGTCCACTGTCATCTCGAGACTGTAGTTTGGAGGTTCTAACTTCTAACAGAGGACCGCGCCACGTGGAGCTTTAGCTTGCATCAGACCATCCAATGGCCAGTTGACGAGATCCACTCCGTGCCTCCCTCACACCCAATAAGGGCGTGTGTGTTATGACAAATTTGTCTGAAGTTCGTACCGTCACCACTCTGTACCGTGGTTTTGATAGCCCGCAACCTAGCAAAACTGTCTTCTACCGCTCTAGAAGTTCGAACTGGGGGCCTGTCCCTACCCCAACTCGCACGCCCTAAAATACCCTTGCAGAAGTCACATTACTCCAGTACTATTGTACAGTAGTAGGTCCGCCTTTGCAGGCTCGCTATTTTCCGCGCTGTCACTTTCCTCCCGATCGCACCGTAGAGCCTTTCGCCCAGGAATGAGAATGTCGAGCCTCCGTCCTTCCCCTCACCCCACCATGGCGGCGATGCTTTCCGCTCAGCAGCTTGCCTCGTCGCTCACATTGCAGGCCCACCCCGCATCCGTCGCAGCACCCCGCTGTGCGACGCTGAGAGCAACCGCCCAACCGCAGCTGCGATCGTCGTTGGTCAGCAGCGGCACGTCCACCGCGTTCGCCGAGTCGTCGTGCCTCTTTGGCCGCAAGGTGGAGAGCCGGGGGCAGCGCGCGGCAGCCAGAGGTGGCGCGGGGCGGCTGGTGGTACGCGCGGCGGTGTTCGACCAGCTGAGCACGAGCCTGGAGCAGGCGTGGACCAAGCTGCGCTCGCAAGGTGGGGGATTCAAGGAATGCGCAGGGCATGCTGCATTGCGGCTCGGGGTCGAAACGACGCGTAGAAGCCAGTGCGTTTGATTGGTTCACCGTGCCTCGTGTCGCTTGCTGCGCGCCGTCCCGCGGCCCCTCCCACCCGTGGCAGACAAACTGACGCGCGACAACATCAAGGAGCCCATGCGAGACATTCGCCGCGCGCTGCTCGAGGCCGACGTGAGTGCCGGGGGTGGTGTGAGTGGCAGAGTAGGGGATGGGCCCTGCCAGGTGGTTGGACTGCGATTGGCCGTGCGCGGGTGACAAGTTGATGGATGGATGGGTGGGTTGTTGGGTGGAGAGTTGCTGGCGGAAATACGCAGGTGGGCCGGTGCTCGCAGAATGGCATGGCAGCTGACGCGATGCCTGGGCGAAGCTGCAAGCCGCATTGAGCACATGACTTTTGCCGCTCACAATGCGCGCATGGCATTGGTTTTGGATCCACCACACAACAAACGAACCCCATGCACGCGTCTCCCCATCCTCCCCTCCCCACGCTCCCCCCGGTGTCCGCCACATGCCCCCTCCCGTCCCCCCAGGTGAGTCTACCGGTGGTGCGGCGGTTTGTGCGCGAGGTGACGGAGAAGGCGGTGGGCGTGGACGTGATCCGCGGGGTGCGGCCGGACCAGCAGCTCGTCAAGGTGGTCAACGACGAGCTCGTCGCGCTCATGGGCGGCAATGTCGCGGAGATCGCTTACGCGCCCCCCGGGCAGGGCCCCACGGTGGTGCTCATGGCGGGGCTGCAGGGCGTGGGCAAGACCACCGCGTGCGGCAAGCTGGCGCTCTTCCTCAAGAAGAAGGTGCGCCGCACGGGGCGCGGGGCGGCGTGGGGGGTGTGGGGGGAGGAGAATCGGGGAAGGGAGACAAGGGAAATGCGACAAGGTCTTTCCCATGCGCGTAGCTGCGGCAAGAGCAAGGCCCCAATTGACAAGCCTCACGTGCTCATGCACGTGGTTCGGACTCCCGCCACGTGCATTGGTGCACATGCTCCTGTGCTCATGCGTGCTCATGATTTTCTATTCTGCTGCACGGGTGCACCCCACCCCACCCCACCCCACCGCCCCTCCCCTACCCCCTTCCCCAGGGCAAGTCGTGCATGCTGGTGGCCACTGACGTCTACCGCCCTGCCGCCATCGAGCAGCTGCAGACGCTGGGCCGGCAGGTGAGCACGCTGGGCCGGCAGGTAAACACGCTGGGCTGGCAGGTGAGCACGCTGGGCTGGCAGATGAGCACGCTGGGCTGGCAGGTGAGCTCGCTGGTCTGGCAGGTGAGCACGCTGGGCTGGCAGGTGAGCTCGCTGGGCTGGCAGGTGAGCACGCTAGGCTGGCAGGTGAGCACTCTGGGCTGGCAGTTGAGCACGCTGGGCTGGCAGGTGAGCACGCTGGGCTGGCAGGTGAGCAGCTACAGACGCTGGGCCGGCAGGTGGGGGAGTGGGGGGAGAGCAAACAGGTGTGAGGGAACGCAGGGGGGAGGGGGAGGAAGCGGCAAGCAGGACAAGTGAGGAAATGGGTGGCAGTTGAGCATCAAGACGTGCCGCCCCGTGTTCGCCCTAGTACATGCCCCGTGTTCGCCCTAGTACATGCCCCGTGTTCGCCCTAGTACATGCCCCGTGTTCGCCCTAGTACATGCCCCAGTGAACACGCCGCTCCTTTCCTTCTGTGCACCTCATTTCCTTCCTGTGTTTCCTCTGCACGTGCGCGCCTGCATGCGTGTGTCTGCGGGTGAGCGCAGGTGGACGTGCCAGTGTACGCCACGGGCACGGACGTGCGGCCGGTGGACATTGCCAGGCAGGGAGTGGCGGCAGCCAAGAAGGCAGGCGTCGACGTGGTCATTGTGGACACAGCGGGTCGCCTGCAGGTAAGCATGGATGCGATCGGCTGGGCACAGCGGGTCGCCTGCAGCTTTCTTTTGAAGCGTGTTGCTTGACGGCTTGCTGCGTGTGTGTCCCCCACGGTGCGTTGGTGCGGTGGTGCGCAGATCGACCGCGGCATGATGGAGGAGCTGCGCTCCATTAAAGGAGCCGTCAGCCCCACCGAGGTGCTGCTCGTCGTCGACGCCATGACCGGCCAGGAGGCTGCTAGTGAGTTGCTGAGCCCCTCTCCTCCCATGCCATTCCTCCGCCCCTCTCCCTTGCATGCCAGCCACTGAGTCTTTCCTCTCCTCCCATGCCATTCCGCCGCCCCTCTCCCTTGCATGCCAGCCACTGAGTCTTTCCTCTCCTCCCATGCCATTCCGCCGCCCCTCTCCCTTGCATGCCAGCCACTGAGTCTTTCCTCTCCTCCCATGCCATTCCGCCGCCCCTCTCCCTTGCATGCCAGCCACTGAGTCTTTCCTCTCCGCTCATGCCCTTCCCCTGCGTCTGCTCACCCCATGTGAATGCCCAGTGGTTGTAGTACTGCTCCTGTCCCCCCCCCACCCCGCCCCCCCTCTCCCCGGCAGGTCTGGTGGCGGCGTTCAATGCGGAGGTGAGCATCACGGGCGCCATCCTCACCAAGATTGACGGCGACTCCAGGGGCGGCGCCGCACTCAGCGTCAAGGAGGTGAGCGGGCGCCCAGCGGCAAGGAGGTGAGCGCCCAGCGGCAAGGAGGTGAGCACTCACACACTGCGGCGGCAGTGGGCTCACCTGAGGTAAGAGTGAGATTGTGCACTGCTCGGGCAGCTGGTAGTTGAGAAGGATGTTAGCTGGTAAGGTTTGGCAGTACAAGCGGCTGTCTGATTGGTTATTCAGCAGCGCTACTTCAGTGAATGGCTCGTACTTGCAAGTCACTTCCTTCTTTGCAGTCTGCTTATTTTCTTCAGCGTGCCATGCCACGGACTTCACACTAGCCTCACCGCCCCCCTCTTCTCCATGACCCTCCCCTGCGTGGCCGGGCCAGGTGTCGGGGCGGCCCATCAAGTTTGTGGGCGAGGGCGAGGCAATGAGCGCGCTGGAACCGTTCTACCCTGACCGCATGGCCAGCCGCATCCTGGGCATGGGCGACGTGCTCTCGCTCGTCGAGAAGGCGCAGGACCTGGTCAGTCAAGACGGGGCAAGGCGGGCAAGGGGAGCTCTGATGGGGCAGGGTTGTGGGTTGTGTGTGGGCCGTAGTGGTGCACTTGTGCTGTGACTGACCTGCTGGGCAGCGTAATATGAAACTTGAATGTCAACACATTGGAGCGGGAATGTGGCCCGTGGCATGTGGCAGATGGACAAGGAGGACGAGGCGGAGCTGCGGAAGCGCATCATGGAGGCCAAGTTTGACTTCAACGACATGCTGAAGCAGACGCGCATGATGGCCCGCATGGGGTCCATGGGCGGCATGCTCAAGCTCATCCCCGGCATGAACAAGGCAAGCCCCGCTCTCCGCCTCCGTTCTGCCGTGAACGCTGGACTGCAGTGCCTTCCCACTGCTTCATCTCACCCCACTTGCCACAGTCACTGGCGTGCTCTTGTCCTTTCAGTTCCTTTCATGCCGTTGCCTCTCAGATTCTTTGATCAGCTGCCTTGCTACTGCCAGCCCCCCTGAATCGTCTTCCTTCTCCCACGCCTTTGCAACCCCTGGCACTTGCAGCTGACACCGCAGCAGGTGCGCGAGGCTGAGAAGAGTCTCAAGGTGATGGAGTCCATGATCAGCTCCATGACTGTCCGTGAGTCCCTCTCTCCATGCCCGTCTGTGAGTCCCTCTCTCCATGCCCGTCTGTGAGTCCCTCTCTCCATGCCCGTCTGTGAGTCCCTCTCTCCATGCCCGTCTGTGAGTCCCTCTCTCCATGCCCGTCTGTGAGTCCCTCTCTCCATGCCCGTCTGTGAGTCCCTCTCTCCATGCCCGTCTGTGAGTCCCTCTCTCCATGCCCGTCTGTGAGTCCCTCTCTCCATGCCCGTCTGTGAGTCCCTCTCCCCATGCCCGTCTGTGAGTCCCTCTCTCCATGCCCGTCTGTGAGTCCCTCTCTCCATGCCCGTCTGTGAGTCCCTCTCCCCATGCCCGTCTGTGAGTCCCTCTCTCCATGCCCGTCTGTGAGTCCCTCTCTCCATGCCCGTCTGTGAGTCCCTCTCTCCATGCCCGTCTGTGAGTCCCTCTCTCCATGCCCGTCTGTGAGTCCCTCTCTCCATGCCCGTCTGTGAGTCCCTCTCTCCATGCCCGTCTGTGAGTCCCTCTCTCCATGCCCGTCTGTGAGTCCCTCTCTCCATGCCCGTCTGTGAGTCCCTCTCTCCATGCCCGTCTATGAGTCCCTCTCTCCATGCCCGTCTGTGAGTCCCTCTCTCCATGCCCGTCTGTGAGTCCCTCTCTCCATGCCCGTCTGTGAGTCCCTCTCTCCATGCCCGTCTGTGAGTCCCTCTCTCCATGCCCGTCTGTGAGTCCCTCTCTCCATGCCCGTCTGTGAGTCCCTCTCTCCATGCCCGTCTGTGAGTCCCTCTCTCCATGCCCGTCTGTGAGTCCCTCTCTCCATGCCCGTCTGTGAGTCCCTCTCTCCATGCCCGTCTGTGAGTCCCTCTCTCCATGCCCGTCTGTGAGTCCCTCTCTCCATGCCCGTCTGTGAGTCCCTCTCTCCATGCCCGTCTGTGAGTCCCTCTCTCCATGCCCGTCTGTGAGTCCCTCTCTCCATGCCCGTCTGTGAGTCCCTCTCTCCATGCCCGTCTGTGAGTCCCTCTCTCCATGCCCGTTTGTGAGTGTCTCTCCATGCCCGTCCGTGAGGCTGCCTCTATGATGTCCGTGAGTCACCCCCACACCACCACTGCTCACATGCACCTGCCTTCATGCTCCCACGAGCATTTGAGCAGCCTGCCATCACTGCCAGAAGATAGGTCATTCCTCCATTCGGCTCTCTTGCATGCATTCCGATCCTGCTCGCCCACTACCCCCCCATCAGAGGAGCGCGCCGACCCCGAGCTGCTTGCCAAGAGCCCGTCCCGCCGCCGCCGAATCGCCAGAGGCTCGGGCAGAAGCCAGGAGCAGGTGGGCTGAGAGTGCAGTACATGACCCTGCTTTTGAGGATCGTTGACAGAAGGTGGACCTCAGGTTCACTTTAGGGTCGCGTGGGGCACGGGGTTCAAGGCTATTTGATCCGGGGCTGAAGGTATTCAAAGGTTGTTTAAAGTGGTGAAGCAGCATCATCATTGCACCATCATTGCGCGCCGACCCTCGCTGCGACCCTGACCCTTGACCTCATGTACCATGCTTGTAGGGTTTAGTGTCCACACAGGAGCAGGTGGGCAGATCCACACAGGAGCACACTTGAATCTCTTCTGCCTGGCAAGGTGCACTTCGCTACTGGATCGTGGGAGGCTTGTGCAGTGTCTAACTGCGTTGCAGTTCCCTGTGTGCAGGTGAGCGCGCTGATATCGCAGCTGTTCCAGATGCGCGTGCGCATGAAGGCGGTGGCCGACATGGTGTCCGGCAAGTCCATGCCAAACATCCCCGGCCTCGACACTTCTGGAGCCAAGAAGGTGACCCACCTCCCCATGCCCCTTTAGTTACACTGCCGCCACAGCATTTGCCACAACAGCTGCCTGACTTTTACTTCCATCATAATGGTATCTCTTTCCTTTTGGACCGCCTTCTCCTTGCAGGCTGCTCCTGGCAAGGCCAAGCGGAAGAAGAGCCGAACTGGCTTCTCCCAACAGTTAGGGGACAGTGCTGCAGTAGCTGCAGGAGCGAGGGGTTTTGGAGGTCCCAAGTAGAGAACCAAGATACCGTAGAGTAGGTACCACTGCGCTTTCATAAATACGTGAGGCTCCTAGATACTAACTGAGCTGTACATCCTTAAAACCCAACGGCAAAATAGCAGAGGGTTTATCAAGTTGGGACCCTTGATCAGGGCCCTTTGTGTGCCGTGGTGTATGTATTGTGAAAGCTTGCTTAGGCTGCGTGCTTCATTCCAGGTGGGTAGTACATAGTTCTCATCCATTACATGCAAACATGGGATACTACAACCAGGGCTCCTGCTAGTTTTTAGGGCGGTCTGAAAATCAGACGTGCTCCTAGTATCAGAATTACAGAAGTGAATGTTCAGTAGAGTGAGAGTACACACAGATATACCTAAGTGTTGTACCCTCTAAGAGGCGACCCTATACAGTCTATACAAACATGACAAATACACATGTCTGACACACCCCCTAGACTGCATAGGGGAATGTCCTAAACAAGCAGCTCAGGGCGGCACTACTAGTCCAACCTCTGAGTCAAGGGTCTAAGAGACCAGTCAGAAGGAGTACAGACAAGGCAAGAACAAGAGCAGGGCGGCACTACTAGTCCAGCCACTGGGAGAGGACACAAGTCCAGTCTGAGTATACATATAAAGGATAGTACAAAGTCAAGGTCCTAGCCAGGGTCCTCGATTGCCCCCAGCCACTTTCTAAGCGATCAGACGGGCCCTACGGAACCGTCTGATCATCAGACGGCTTCTTCAAAGATTTCTGATTTGTCAGACGAACATGCCATAAATTTCTAAATACACAGAATGTTTAGTAGCATATTTCTTCGCTTACTGATGCACACCATGTTGCACCTCCTAGCTTTAGTCAGACAAGTCCTCTACAACCATGGTCATGCGCACATCCACATCTTCATCATCAGCACTAGTCTTCTTCCTCTTCTTCTTGTCGTGCTTTCTCTTCTTGCGGGGGGGGTTGGGCATGACGACATGCTTCGCCTGGCGTCGCGGAACTGATGCTCGGAACTTCTCCATCACTTCTTCCCACTTCATAGGGTACTCCAGCAGAGAGACACACATGAGATCTGCAAGGCGGGTGTCGCAGAGGTTAACCCGCAGCCAGGACTTGATCGTGTTCTGGCGGCTGAAGCCACGCTCACACTCCACGGTGCTGAGCGGCAAGACAGCAACAGCTACCCACAGGCGCACGAGGTTGGGGTACGCCGTGCGCCAGTCCTCCGACCTAAGAATGTTCTTGAGGCAGTTGTGGAATGAGTGGTCTTTGTAGTGCTTGTTCATCATCCTAGTGAACCGCGGAAGCTCTCTTTCAGCCTTCAGCCAGTCGACTCCTGTGGGGCGAGATTGGTAGGGAAGCATTATAACATAACTTAGATCCTCCTACTGCGACATTCACATTCAATATATGCCGCAATACTGTTACATTCACAATCAATGTACATAAACCAAAAAGAGACGCACCGGGCATGGCGCACTTCTCGGCGCTGTAGAGGACTTTAAGCGAACCGAACCACTCTGCGCACAGCCGCTCGCGTTTTGCGGGTGCGTCGGGGTATGCGTCGGGGAGGAACAGCTTCGACCCACGGAGATTGTTGAGACTCGCCATACGCGTCTCCAGATTCCGAACAACCGCCTGCACAAAGAGGGAGGCAAGGGAGATACAAGACTCCATATCTCCTTTGCTCCTCTGGTCGCTCAAGTCCTTCTCATGAAGCTTGAAGGTGTGGGTCTTGGGGTTGCCAGAGCCGTCGATGCCCTCCACCATGACCCTCCGCTTGTTGGAAGGTCCATGCTCCTCCAAGAACTTAGACAGCAGGTCGGAGCCTTCGCCGAAGTTGACGCCATGCTCGATGTAGCGTGAGCGGAGCACATTGCAGGTGTTCTCAATCAGCTGGGCGACTCTGGTGATGTCCACCTGCGATGTAGCCACTGCAATGAAATTAGCGCTGTTATGCGTTCAGGCAGGAGGAGGAAACTATTTATATTGATGAACAAGCATGCACGCTTACAGCTCGACGCTGAAACTTTCTGTTGAGGGCATTAAGCTCTGCAAGGACGTCAGCTAGGAAAAAAAGAAGGAAGTGGAACTTGAAGCTGATGACGACATGGTACATGTCATCATCAAATTCATACAGCAGCAAGACTGCAGCGGGGAGAACTTCAACGAGCCGCGAGATGGCTTCCCCTCGGGAGAGCCATCGGATATCCTTTATACCCTGCATTTCCAGGGTCGTATCGTTGATGAACTTCTGGAGCTCGCTGAAACGCTTGTGTACGACGATGCTCCGCCCAAGGATGTCAGCCAGACTCCTGACCACCTTGTCCACGATGTCAAGGTCAACGTACTCGGTGGCTGCATCCTTCGCAGCCAACGCCTCTCTGCAAGCTACAAACGAAAACATTAGTTCTTCAATGTTTGGTTACATGCACTTGGCTCATATTTAAATCAACGGACATCGCAACACCAAGTACAAGTTCATTACACGGCACCAACCAAAACTGACCTGTGCGCGATGCAGTGGCATGCGACGAGGTGCGGAACTTTGGCTCGGAGCTGCGCCACGAGGCCCCGGTTCACGCCGGTCATGACGCTGGCGCCGTCAGTGCTGATGCCGCTGATCTTGTTCAGATCCAGCCCGGTAGATTCCAGGTGTGTCAGTAGTGTTGATAGAAGAGAGCTGGCATCACACTTCTCAACTGTGAGGTGAGCGTAGAACTCAGTCACGACCTTGGCGTTCTTCAAGAATGTCAGATAGACAATCATGTGTTTCCCACGCCGCCTGTCGGTGCTCTCATCCAGCTGAATGCCCACGAATGGAGATGCGTCAATGTGTTTCTTCTGCTGGGCGCGGAGGTAGACGACTAGTGCTTCAGTGATCTGCTTGAAGCCGTACCTGCAGAAGCAAAATAACAGAGAGAGACTTAGTCAGAACGGTAGTCCTTGAGTATCTACTGCGAAGAAACGACAGACAGACTTACTCAGAATGGTACGTGCCGAAGGCTTTCTCAGGGATGTGTGGAGTCCGTAAGTCGACGAGAAGACGAAGAAGAGAAACAAACATGCCAATGGGGGCGTCAGACTTGCAAATCCACAAAACGATGAGCAACAACTGCCTGAGGCGGTTGTCGAGGGACTCAAGGGACTCCTCGAACTCTGTGATGCTCGGCTGCGACGTGACCTTGCCATCCAGCTGCTGCTGTCTCTCCTCTGCGGCCTCGTGCTTCTTGCTTTGAGAATGCTTCACCATTGTTTGCTTCTGGATATCCACTCCGCCGTTGCCGAGTTTTCCGTACTGCCAGGTGGGAGGTGCGTGAGCCATGCAAAGTCGACATTTCATGCACGGACGTCCGTCGGGGCGCTGATCGATGATGAGCCATGGGAACTTTCGGACCCACTGCTCCTCAGCCTTGCTTTTTAGCTCAGCTAGAAGCGCGTCAGGGTCAGGGATGAGACGGCAGCAAAGACGGGACTTCGGATTCGGGACCGGCCGGTCAGCAGAAGAACCAGCTTCGGGATGTTCTGCCGACGAAGGTGGTTCGTCAGTGGAGGCGCGAGCCTCGATACGGATGTGAGGAACACGGGTGCGTGCAAAGCGTATCGTGCTTTGTGTGAACTGTCGAATGGACCGTGGCTTCGGCAGCTGTTGTACAGCGCCGACGGACAGCAGAGGGGACCGCCTAGCTGATACAGCGGTAGGAGAGCGAGGAGACGTTGGGGGAGTGGATGCGAGTAACGGGTCGCTGTTAACTTCTGGGAGTATCTCGCTAAATGGCGGCGCTACTGCGGGTGATGGGACTGCAGGCACGTGATTTGCCTCTGGATTTGGGCAGGTCTGGTGAGCTAGACGCAGGAAATCAAGCCCACTTACGGGGGGCATACCAGCCGCGGGAGGAACTACAGATGCGGCGCCGCCATCTCTAACGGCGCCAGCATCCATGTCGAAGTGGTGTGAGACGGGCTATGGAGCAGGTAGAAAACGGACAAGCAATCACCGTGTGTCGTCAACATAGTGAGGGGAAGGAGTGAGCGTTGCAACGAGGACAGGAGAAGAACCTGGGCGTGGTCCTTCATTCACAGATCCTCAGGGCGCGCATGCGTCTCCAGCGGCACGGGGAGCATCCATCCATCGTCCAAAGCTGGCGAAGGTTCTCGTCTCCTGCACGAAGCGGGCACTTGGCGACAAGCCAATAGGCGAGGGGTACTATGCTGTTGATAAGACAAGCCAATCAGATGTGGAGCTGCAGCTGCAGCATGCATTGCAACACACGACCCAGCGCGCGCACGCCCCTTAGCTGGCAACGGCGATGGTATCCTTGTGCGCTGTCACAAGACAAGCCAATGAGATTCACATGCATGTGCCATCACATGCTGCCGCAGCTGATTGTGGGCAGCATTTGAGTCACACCCTGCCTTGCTAATGCCTCGCTGCGAGTGACGCGTCATGTAAAGCTGCCAGAATAGTGCGTTCACGTTTTGGGTGGGCGGCCACAACGCGGGCCGCGTGGTATACGCGGTCTGTATAAGGGGGCTGTATACAGCCCTATAGATATTGGTTTCAGACGGATGGATTCGCTAAGTCTAAAAACTCAGAAGAACGAATACACCCATTCTGTTTTTCCAGACGAATACAAAATCACTTTCTAGGACATCAGAAAGTCTGAAAACAGGTTTCTAAAAAATCAGATGAAGGCCAAAAAAAGGTTCTGAATATCAGACAAACAGACAGATTTTGTCTGCAATCGAGGACCCTGGTCCTAGCAAGTGAGAGGCTACAGGAACTAGACCAAGCTGTACACAGTGCCGCTGATGATCTTTAGGCGCAAGCGCCTTCGTAAAGATATCAGCCGTGTTGGCACCTGAGGCCAAGTGTACTACGCGAGCCTGACGTCGCTGCTGTAGCTCACGCAGGAGGAAGTACCGCAGCTGAGTGTGCTTCGCTCTGCCCTCGAGTCGAGGCTCCTGACACAGGAGGATCATGGCCCTGTTGTCAGCGAACAGGACCGGGGCAGAGCTAGGCCGCTCACCTAAGTCAGTGAGCAAGAAGGTCAGCCAGCGGAGCTCCTGTGCCGCCATGGCACCAGCGTAGATCTCAGCCTCACAGCTGGACTGCGCAACAGACGAGGAGCGGGTAGCTCTCCACGAGACGGCACCTGAGCCAAGGCTGAAGCAGTAGCCCTGGGTGGACCAGAGTGTCTCAGCGTCGTCTG